GGGGGGGGGGGCGGCAGGATTTTCCCATGTTTTACACTGTACAATCCAAGCTCGGGCATTTTATATAGATATCGTATTACATTATATGAATTATACAAGTGCAGGTTAATTAACTCAGTCACTTTACCTGCAAGTTGCACAAAACAGCAAAGCAGTAAAAAATGGATGTTTAGTCATTTCTCATGTAAAACCCCGCAAGCGTTATCGTCAGAGCCGGTGTATATGTTTTTTTGTTTTTTGTAGCACAGATGTTTCTGAATGACCTGAGAAATATTAAAGGGATATTTTAGGAATAGCGTACAGCCAGCATTGCTAGTTCAGCACTACGGACAGCGACATGGACTGCAGACACAGCAAGGCAGGCCATTGATTGCAGTGGCTGATTGTATCTTAGCCTAATAGCAGAAAGAACTGTGATAGATGCAGGTGACTTTATAGTTCGGTAATGCAGATTATCGACAGCACGGCCTCAAGAGGACCGGAGTGTTTGTGTTTGCTGGAGAGCGTGACAGAGCGAGGGGAGAAGAAGGTATTCTAGTAATCTCAGCCAAGTTATTTATAAACGAGTCATCTTTGTCGCTTTTACAGCTGCTCGAATGTTTGATATTTTCTAATAAGTTGCATATGTTGTCGCATGAGGAGTGAGGAAGACTCATTTTGGTTACTTTGGGTGGAAAGAAGCATCTTTAGAGCACAAATCCCTGAACATCTTTCCAACTAAAGATGTGCAGGTGCAGTGCACTTGGTGCTTTAGGGAGAAAAATGATTTTATCAGCACCACAGGCCTATCGTGTGTGTATGTGGCTTCAAAAATTCACCCAACTATGTTGGGAATATATAACTCGCGCTTTAAAGGAATAGAACATGTTTCTGTTCATTTAAAGCAGAAGAACATGTTTTCATATAAATAATAAAAGCTGTAAATCATGTTACGGTTACAGTTCATGTTAATGAAACTACTAGTTGTGAGAAGCAAGCGTACATTATTCAGTAGTGAAGTTATTAGAATTCCCTTTGATAGAGCCCAGTGCAACGTGAAACTGAAGCCTGCAGCAACAGCAGAGTGCATTCAATAGGTCAAGCCTCTCTCACGCACACACATATACACAACTCTCTCACACTGCTGTGGCAGCTAGTGCAGCTGAATATTAGGATCAATGAAAGTGAAACTATGCAAGCAGTTTCTGTTCACTCCTCACACGATTCCATTTCCTACTAGAATACAAAATGCACACCAATAACACAGCATAAACAGTCCACTGCTGTTTCCTGTTGAGTAGAGGTATGGGTTATTGATTGTTCATGTCCTCCACAAATAACACACATACACTCACCGGACACTTTGTTACATACACCTCTTCAGCAACACAAATATTTAACCAGCGAGTCTCATGGGGTAAACTCAGTGCATTGAGTCATGTAGACGTGGTCAAGACGACCTGCTGAAGTTCAAACTGAGCATCAGAATCTGATGACTTTTGCTTTCTGCTGCAACATTTGGACTGTAGGGTCAAACTTTGGAGTAAACAACATGAAAGCATGGGCTTATCCTGCTTTATATGAGTGGTTTAGGCTTCTGATATAATAGTGTGGGGTATATTTCCTTGGCACACTTTGGTCCCATTACCACCAACTGAGCATTGTTGAAACAGAGCAGCCTACTGCTGCTGAGCATGTCTGTCTCTTTATGACCACAGTGTACCCATCTTCTGATGCCTTCTTCTGGTATTATAACGAGCCATGTCACAAAGCTCAAATCATCTCGAACTGGTTTCTTGTGCATGACGATGAGTTCACTGTGTTGGGATGTGGTGGAACATCATGGATGTGCTGGGTATCGTCACTCATTTCTAGAATCGATTCGATTCCGAGTCACAAGGTCCCAAATCGATTCGAGCCACGATTCGATTCAATTTGAATCGGGAAATTTTGCCTCAGACAGTCAGAAATATTATAATTCAGATCATGCATCAGTACATTTCTATATTTTTATATCTATAAAAAGAAATCTGACACTTGCAAGACATAATCAAGGGTATGAGCGTCACAGCAGATGCATTTGTGTCAAAGTAGCTGAGGATAAAACACAGAAAAACATGAAGATGATTTTCCTGGCCTGGGGTTTTATAAAAATATTCTGCAGTAGATCAAAAACGAAACAAAACCGTTAATGAACATATGAACATTACCTGATGCTGCTGACGTGAAGCAGAGCAAAGTTACAGAGGTTTTATTACAGACACAGCTGAGCATTTTGCAATTTTGCATAATTTTAAAAAGTTTAGATTTGTTCAGTATTGAACAGCAGAAATTAGGCTTTCTTTTCGGAAGTAAGTAAAAGGGGAAAAAAAACAGCGTCCGACAGCGCTGTCGGAGAGAGAGAGAGAGAGAGAGAGAGAGAGAGAGACAGCTGTGCATGTAGTGTGATTTTATCGAGGTGGCAGCAAAACAATAAGAGGGAATTCATGACGATGTTTATGTGAATCGAGTTTGCTGCTTCTTTTGCTGCTGGTTCAGTCAATAATGTTTGGAGAGAGATAAAACCTGCAGCTTCAGAATCAGGGCAAAAATGGCGCAAACACAAAGCGCGGACCCGCCGAAACATCAGAATCAGCGAGCTGTCGGCTTTCAGCTCGTGTCCGTGTCCGTGCCGTCGGGTGAGAAAGGCGACATCTCACTGATTCTGATCCGCGCTTTGTGTTTACGTCTTTGTCCGTGTTCCTGCTCTCATTTACTGTTTTAGCTGTTTGGTGGTTGTTGAAATTTTGTGAGGTTTAACCTGAGATTCTGGTGTTTCGAGCAAAATAAATTTATATTAAAAAATCGATTCAGGATTTTAATGAATCGATATCACGTTATCCAAGCTAGAATCGATTTTAATCGATAAATCGATAATCAAAACCCTCCCCCTAATAAGGAAGCCCAAAGGGTGGACTGCACAGTGACTGATACTAAAGCAATGTGGCAGTGTGTGGAAAATGCACTTTACACGTTCTAGCATGTAAATAAGCTGCATGTGTGCACACCAGCATGTTTGATTCGGCCAATAAACTCTATGCTCCCTTCTGCACACCTCACATACACCTAGGAGCTCTGATTTAGGGTGGGGATTGATGAGAATGATCATTGAGGAGTCACCCAGAAAAGCACACCAATATCTTCTCTGCTGCTGCACATTATCTCAGTGAACTCCTGCGAGAAGACCTCACAAAGGGACTAAAAGTTGACTAAAGCGAAAAAGGTCAGAGATGAGAGAAAAAGAGAAGATCTGCATTGCTGTTGCATTCAACAACAGCACAGATTAAATTATTGAGCTATATTATCTTATTCTAACGTCTTTAGCATTCTCTGTGACCCTGAGGAGCACATATGGGTGGATTTTAACAGATACAAAGATATATATATATATATAAAGAAAATGCAGGCCCAATTTATTTTATGTATTTTTTTAGTTAATGGTTAAAGCATACTGTGTGCCGTAAGAACTTGTTCACTCATCATTTTCTTCAGTTGAAATACATGAAAATCAATGTTTGGAGTTTGATATGCTACTGAGAGTTGAGCCTGCAGTAGCTGCAGCTGCAGTGTTTGCTCTCTGCGTGGTAGAAAATAGAAGAAAAAAGGTTGGCACAGCCATAGGTCAACTTGCTGCATAGCAACTGGGTGCCACAGTCAGCAAACTGACCTATGAAAACACAGAGTTTGTTCCTCTCTGAGCTTGCTGTTTCAGTGCTGACAGCTTCTCAGCCTTGTACACTGCGAGGCTTAATTACAGTGACACATGAATATCCACGATGTGCCCGCTGATATTAATGATAGAACATACAGATTCACCCAGAAGGCGGGTTCTGCACAAATTATTTTTCACAGAGAGGTCAGAGGTCACAGTATGATAGAGAACATTTTGAACACCTGACCTTTATCCTGTCAGACTAACTTAAATATTAAATTGAGCTGGAGTCACAGTCTTGTTTATGTACACCCAAGAAGAAAACAGAGTATGAGACGGAGAAAGAAAGAGTGCTGCCTGTCAGCAGGGAACCTCATGCTCGAGTTTGATAACAGTAGCAGAGGGAAAATAATCCCCACTTGCATCTAAGTACCACTCCTAGCACGTTAGGGGAGCTACATGCTAATGCTTGTGGAAGCAGGACACCAGCAGTCATGGACATTAAACTAAGACACGTTCACGTGGAGGTGTGAGGTATAACTGATGTATATAGAAAAATGTTCTCGTCATGATCTGTTCGTTCATAAGCTGCACAGCTTAAATCCTGAAAATAATGGAAGCCAATTCAGCCTACTGCTCCTTCAGCCCAGACAGCGAAGCAGAAATTGATTACAGCTGCATCAGATGTGGATTCTTACTTTTGACTGTGAGGTACATGGACTTGCTGACATCTGCTCCCACGTCGTTGCTGACTTTACACAGGTAGAAGCCGCTGTCGTCCTCCAGCACGTGTTTGATAAGCAGCGAACCGTTGCTCAGCAGCTGGATACGAGAGCCGGTGTTCAGAGGGATGGGCTGAAACTGGGGGACGCCGGCGCCTAGTGCGAGCAGGTAGAGACGGGCCAAAAAAAGACAAAATCAGGAGCTGTTTTAAATCAGAAAAGAGGCATTCAGATTTATTTATATGGCTCATTCAGTGCACCACGACACAGAGAAAAATACACATATATGAAGATAAATAGCATTACAGTACTTAACAGTAAGAGGACCTAGAATGTGTGTGTCCATGTGCATTCACTTGACCATGCATCTGTGTTTACAGATTTGACGACAAAGCCTGTCAGATTCAGCAAGGATTGTAAACATGTTTCTTAACACCAGGCCTAAATCCTTAAATCGCCAAACAGCTGCTGAGCAGAGCGAAACAGGCTGAGCTCCTGGTGTGATGCAATCAGAACAGACATAATGCTCATGTTTAACAAGAAGGCAGATTGGTGCAGAGGAACAACGGGGAGAGCAGGGAGGCCTTATATTGGAACTAGCCTTCGATGCAGAGTCAGGCAGATTTCTCCGCTGAAGTTAGAAGAGGATTTTCTCCTTTTTTCTTTTTGTTCTTGTGTTTCCAACTCTGGATTTAGTCTTTGCTCTTGTGTTTGATGAATTCACCAAAAGAATAACACAGAAATGTCCTTAGAAACACATTTCTGGCCAGTCTGAAAGACAAGGACACACTAATCCTGAAGCAGTGGGTTCGATGCTTTGCGCTGTTCTTTATCTGTAAAAGTCAAATATGACTGACATTTGAAATTCATTCTTAAAATTTTTCAAAATAACTAACAAAATCTGTCCGGTACCTGTCTGAAGTCTGGTAACAGATGGGTAGGAAACTGTCTCTGTCTTTTAAATAGAAAATTATATAATCAGTCTCTTTTTACTGTTATACATTACAGTATCTCTTCCTGAACTGGCAGCCCTTAAGTCTCTAAGAAATGTCACCAACACTGAATTATAAGGCTCATATCTTTAACTAGTCTTGCTCATGTAGCATTAAACGCATGCAAAGTGAGCCAGACGTTGCATAAGCTCGTGTTAAAGTTAGCGTGTACAGATTAGACCATTTAGGGAGCTGTGGGTATTTGCTGTTTAATTAAAATGCAGTCAAGTGGCTGTGGCTAGAGAAGGGTCAAGTGGTGACTTTGTTCCTGCTCCCCTGGCTCTTAGAGAGGCAGAGGGAGGTAGGGGTGTTCTTCCTTGAATTATGGATTCTGCATATCCAAATAGTGCTAGTCGTTATGTTAATAGCAGTTGACCTTTACTTACTGTTCCATATCTCTCGGAGACACTCATCTGGCTCTTAGCTATTACTGTTGCAGTAAAAGCAGGCCAGGCAGCTATTCTCTGGACAAACTGCAGTCTGGCTAACAACAAATTAGGCATTAGCGAGCTAAACTGCCTGCACTGGATACGTTGATTTTCATTGTCCCTTTGCTCTGACAGCTATCCTGTAGAGAAACAGGAAGTGTGTGAAATGCTGAGGTAGAAAGGTCCCAGAAACCAAAAAATAGGACTGACTGGTAGTCTGGCTTAAGCAAACCTGACCAATAAGCTAGCTTCAAACACTACAAGTGAGTAGACACATGCTGAGCTCAGGCCGATCCCTCCGTACATACTGATCAGGCCTGGTCAGACACTGCTAATCAGGCACAGACATGCACACGAGCACACATAAATCCCATCAAAGGGTGAAAAACAGATCTGATTCTTTCATTCCTTTGATCATGGCACCGAGCACGCAGACACACACATGCGCACGCTCTGCTCCTCGTTGGCTGTTGTGTTTCTCTTGGTGAAGCTTTCATCCCAGGTTATATGGATGATGGAGCAAACATCTGGGCCCCTTTCTTCATCTGCCCTGCTCAAGTGACTAAAATCACCTGCTGCCTTGCTGCCTGTCTGTCTGCTTCAGTCTGTTCTCGTCTTTTTCTCTCTGATGATTTTCTAACGATGCAGGTGGGAACTGTGAAAACTAACAGCCCTAAATTGAAGTGATGTGTGCGTTTGTATGTCCTGCGCATTCATAGACATGTATGCCAGCCGCAGGTAAAGAAAGCAGCAAGCAGAGTGATTTCTCCCTGTTTTGACTGATGTTTGCACCTCTTCTCACATGTTCAACCATCTTCCCTTTACATTCACTTCATTTAATGTACCTTTGGAGTGTTCCCAAACGATGGTAGGTGGTGGATAACCTTCAGCGGAGCAGTTAAGAGTCACAGTTTTGCCATAGATCCCATCTTGATCCTCAGGCTGAACCACAAACTGAGGAGGCACTGTACACAGCAACAAACACAACAAACAGCAACACTTCATGGTGTTTCCCAGCTGATTTCACTGATAGATGGAAGGTGGATGCTGTCTTACCCCTCACGATCAGCTGGCTCTGGTGCTCCACAACAGCAGCTTCATTGCGGGCGATGCAGGTGTAGTTGCCGTTGTGGTCGGGTGTTAGGTTGGAGATCCTCAGCGAGCTGGTAAAGTCTATGTTGTCCACAGTTACGCCCAAGCTGGCGGGGATCGGCCGCCCGTCCTTCTGCCACGTGATGTCCAGCGGTCGGTCACCAGACATGACCACGCAGGGGATGAAGACGCGTTGGCCGATGGTGAAACGCTGAAACTCGAAGGGCTGGATGTAGGGAGGGACTGCAGGTGGAGGGATAAAAATCTAAATGATTAAAAGTCTTCAAAAATCATCTGAACTCCCTGGATTCTGTTAAAGCTGCTGTATCCCTTATTGAGACTAACCCTATAAGCATCACTCTCTCTCTCTGTTAAGAAAACAAGAGGTCACTGAAAGAACATAAAAGACTGGAATAGCAAAACATGCTGCAATAATTCGTTGTCATTCCCAGGCTGGAACATTTTGTCCTTAGAGTGCATAGAAAGAGAGAAAGAAAATAAATAATAATAACTTTCAAGGTGACTTGTTGTGATGCTTTAGAAAAAGAAACCTTAACGAACCTGAGTCTTTTCCCTTTATCTATAAATGATCATATATCAAGCCACTAACCTACACCTACGTGCATTAACATCTAGCTGCAACAACACTATCAAATTATAGCACAAAAATCATGATTACAGGAAATATTTATACTTGCATTTATATTACAATATAAAGAATTAACAACTTTAAACTAAACAGAGGCTACATCCCTTGCACCACCTCAGTCTTCAATGCACCTGTCTTGAATAACTGAAATTCAGAAACAAAGTCAATCTATCTGCACGATATAATCACAGTTACAATATGATCTATTCAAATTGACTGCGCTGTATTCTCTGGGAAATCTCCAGCCATCACACAAGTCATCTGCGCGAGCGTCCATTCAGTTCAAATAACACTGAAATAAGCAGCACTTTAGCCGCTTATTTAATTCACAACAAAGTGGAGATAATGGACTCCAGGGATCCCCAAAGACACTTCGGCATTTTAAGCATGAGCAGAGTAAATTAACAAATGCACTCCCTCACTATAGCACCGCTGGGAAGGGTTGCTTTATATCATCACTCTCTCTTTCTCACTCTCTTTCTTCCTCCGTTTCCCTCGCTCCGTGGGAAAGTGTATTATAGTGAAAACAACATTACATACTGTGCAGAGGGAAGGAAATGAGACATAATGGGGAAGCCCATTTTTTAGTATAATCTATTACAGTTGTAAGATCTCAGTGGAGATCAGTCAGTCAGCCCTGTAATATCAGCTGCCATCTTCACTTCTTCTTCATAAGCCAGACTAATGTACCCAGGAATATCAGGTAGATTAATTAATTTAGTCCGGAGAGATCTATTTATATTGTGGCGTCTGGATGGGAGGAGAAGAGTGAGCCGAAACCTTTTTTCACCACTGTATCCCACAAAGTTGAAACTGTGACAGTTTCCCACAAAACCTATGGAGGAATATGCCTATGCCTTTTGGCTAAATGTGACGTGTGAAGATCAATACCACACATGCAATACTATACAGGGTAATGGCACATTTTTTTAGCTCAGATTGTTAATATTAAATAGATGTAATACTACATATTAATTGTTGAGCTGCAGAGGGAAGTGTCGGTAGGTAGAGTTTATTACTTAGGCTAGTTTTTCCAATATTTATGCCGGACTTGCTTGCAAATGTTTGTTAATTTGTGAATTGATGAATTGTAATAAGAAAGCGCTTTGAGTGAAAAAGCGCTACATAGGTAGCGGTCCATTTTACCATGAAGTGGCAGAGAAATATCTATATTTATAGGACGTTATCATCATCCTGGTACCCTTGACAGAAGGTCAGTAGTTGTTTTTTTCCCATATGCTTTTGGATTATTGCAGAAAATAAGTGTAAATGCATGAGTACTTAGTGACCTTTTAATGTTTTAGAAATGCAAATTTCTAAAGCATGTGTTAACAATAGACCATTCGATCAAAAACCAAGAACACAGACTTAAAGAGAAGGGAGCTCGAAGGGCAAAGTGATGCTTTATTTCTGTAGCATTAACTTTATTTGTCTCCAAGCACTTTTTTTTCCTCAATGTGACTGTGACATTAGCTAATTCCAGTAATGATCTGTGTGGCGTGTTTTGGAGCATTTAGATATGATTTGCAGTTGGCACATACATGGTTTTCAAATCCACATAGAAACCAGATTAACATATCACAACATAGCACCAGCACACTTAAGGTGCTGAACAATCTTGCTAGTATTTGCTGATAACTTGATAAACATGGCTATCTTTTGTTCCAAGAAAAAACAAGATCATTTGAAGTTAAACACTAAATGCTATAAAATGTCAGTTTGCTAATTAATGACCACCCTTTATATACAGTCTATGCACTAATAATCACAGAACTGGTTTACCAAATGGATTTAATAACAGTATGTCTCCAATAACAAATTATAAAGCACATGCAACGTATTTTTAGCGGCATCAACGTTCTCATTTCTTATGCAGGACATCCTGATAGTAGTCGCAGCGATTCACTTAACTTTGTTCATGTTACAGCCTTAATATAAAACGGGTTAAATTCATTATTCACCTCAAAATTCAACACACAATACCCTAAAAAGACAGAATTAAAAAGAGTTTGCTTAAATATACCTACGTTTCTATATCTACTCCATACTGGTACTCAGGTTGTTGCACTCTATTTATCTGTATAACTTATTACTTGTTATTCTATTTTCTTTTTATTCTGTTTCTTTCGCTCTGGGACTGTGTACACGTAATTTCGTTCCACCTCATGTAAACATGTGATACGAATGACTATAAAAGAATCCTTGCATCCTTGAAATTCTTGCAATTTTGTTAAAAATAAAACAAAAATGAATAATGAAAAAATGTGAAACAGGTGAAGTGCTGTAAATACTTTCCGGATGTACTGCACCTTTCTAATGACTTTATGTCAAAGAGTAATCAGAGTAAGAATAACACATCAAGGTTGCCAACGGCAACTTGGTGAGCTGCAGTTTCATTGGACTTACCTCTCACTCGGACGTGGACGCTCTGGGAGTCCATCTTGTTGGGCTGAACCATCACCTTGCAGTTATACTCGCCGGCGTCCACCTGCTGCACGTTACTAAGCTTCAGCGTGCCGTTGTTCTCGAACGCTCGCTGCCTGTGGTTGAAAGGTAGCAGCGCAGAGTTCTTGTACCACTTTATGGAATAGTAAGGGTAGCCAATGACGCGACAGTGAACGAAGGCATCCCGTCCAGCGATTGCGGTGATGTTTTTCATTGGACGAATGCTGGCTCGGCCTAAAAAGGCACAGAGATTAAAAATGTAAGATTTTAAGGACAGCGGTATTCACAGAAAATCACAACAACAGTGTGAATGAGTGTGGTTTGCTTTATTATGGTGTTTTTACAAATAGACTCGTGACTCGTTAAACGTATTCAGGATTTCAACATGAAAGTGTTTCCCCTCACAGCTCCACAAGTCCTACCAGGCACCAAGTACTCACAGGAGAAGTGAAAGGAAGCTGCTGTTTAAAGCTTTTGTTTAACTACAAGAAATAAGACAGAACTCTAAGTAGAAGGCGGTGAAATGACAAGCAGATTAAAGTGTGCTAACTATATGAAGGAAAAGAGAGCATTAAAATAACACTGTACTACGCGTGCTTATAACTCGGCTGTAATACATTCTGTTTCCCATCAAATGTTATACATGCCGAGCCTCATTCTGTGTCTCATAAAATGGAAACAGAGTAATTGCTTTAGCATCTGATCGAGAAGAGTCGAATTGGCTGCTTGAGTAAATACACACAGACACACATGACTCGCACACACAAGCACACCGGGGGATAAATGTATTCAAACAGAAGAAATGCATTTTTCTTCTGGCTATTTACAAACCATATCCAGATAGGCTTACGAGCAGCAAACCAGCATAATTCATTTGACCTAAAATGCAAGCGTGTTGGAAAAGCACAGTAACAATTTGGAGAGAAAATTACAAAGCAACAATTTTAGAAAAGTATACGTGGTTTAGGATTAAGAGACAGTAACAGGAAAACAAAACTGAGGCAAAATCAGTCGCTGGAGAGCAACTTAAAAGGAGATGTAAGTGTGAATAAAGATTTCAAATTAAAAATAAAATAATAGCAAAGAAAAAAACAAACACCAAATTTTAAGAACAAGCTTTTCGCAGATAAATTCCAGATCCAAACAACAAGCAGCTCTCATATACGACACAGAGACAGACACATAGAGAGACAGACAGGTATGTGTATTTGTTCTTGGAGGAGCTGATTTGACAAGCACCTCTTACGTTTATTCGAGCCTGGTGGTACACGACCCCGGCCGAGTTGCTGCACGTGCACCGATACACCCCGCCGTCTTGCACCTGGGTGTGCGTGACATTGAGCTGGCTGACCACGTGGCCCTCGTGGGTCTCGTAGTGGCCCAGGTGGTGGTGGCTGTCTTTGATGACGGGGTCGTCGTCCAGCGACCAGGTGCACCTCGGAGGCGGGGTGCCCTTGACGTTGCAGACCAGGAAGACGGGCTCGTTCGGGTTCACCACCTTCTCGCTGAAGGAGGACAAGATTTTCGGAGTACCATCTGTGACAGAAGACAAAAGTGGAACGTGGTGGTGAATAAAAGAGAGGCTAAGTCACACAGAAGTACTAAGTTTAAAAGTGAGAGCGGTTTAGTGAATAATGTCATCATAAATTATGTATTTTGGGGGTAGTTTGTTGTTTTAACCCTGTAACACCAAGTGTATCATATTTGATACACCTCGACATCATCGGTGTGAAAAACCTAATGTCTACAATCAGACACACGCAATACTACTGTGAGTAATAAAATAACAAAAACGCCAGATGTAGCAAAAATGACTGAACAAATGGAGATTCGTGTATGTAAATTGCTATTTCGTTTTTTAAAAACTCATGAATCGGGCTTTACAGGATTGACAAACAAAGCTGAAACGTGCACATGTGGAAAAAGGGAAAAGGAAATGCGTTATAATGTCGATCCCTGACAGGATTCAAACCAGTCACAGATGAAATCGTGCATGTTAGGTCACTGTAACACACCTGTCTTCAATAGATTTTTGTAGTTTAAAGGGCAACTGTTTAAAAGCTGAATATACCTGCTGATATCTCATCTTATAATCTCAGGAGTTTTGGACACAATAACAGCTTCACTTATGTGTTTCATAGTTCATCAAACAACGGCAATAAGGCATATGTAAAAAGGCTGACTCCAAGTGTGGGAGAGTGGGGAAGAAATGCTAGACTTTAAACAATTCCCAGGCAGAAACAGGATGATTACTGATCTTTTCTCACATACCACTCAAATTAAACATTTGTGCTGACTAATTAGCCGAGCCAGTGAGTTTGTGTTGGGCACAAATCACAGTGAGCCAGTTTGATTCCTTTCTCACTACTCACTAAAATGGCCGTGAGAAATACATATATATAGCTTTGAAAAATTATTTGAATGAACATCAAAATGTCGAGTGATTTTCAACTAGTGCTTTGAGACACAAAGGGAAGCTCCTAAATATCACTGAACTCTGTTGCACCAGCTGTGTAATGAATCCAATACGTATATTTGTTAAGCTTTGCAAACTAACTAAGCTAATGTGCCTATTGGGGTTTTGCAGACATGTGATTGCTAACCACATGGTGTTAACCTGTCCACCTATAACAATAATGATGGTGACAATGTAGGGCCGAGCAAATAAAGCCCCAGTGACACAGTTGTGTGCGCCCCACTGGCTAGCAAAGCCAAAATGGTTTGGTAGCTAGCACCCCTCTCAGGTGGCACACTTTGTGATCAATTTCACCAAGTGACTGCCAGCAACCTCCAGGTGCCACTCACTAACCAGTCGGTAATTACACATTTTTCCACTTTTGGGCAAGTGATGTAAAATCTTTGTTCATCTGATACAGCTTCTACTGAAATCCTGCGTAAAACACAGGTACATTTTTTTTCTGTCGTTTACTCATTATTCAAAAAAAACATTTATATCCTGTATTGTCTACATACTACTCTTTGTAATATCCAGACGCAGTATACATTTGTTGTTGAAGACAATTCTTTTTTTTCTTTAGAAGAAAACGTTTTTGTTAATAAAACAGTGATAGAAAGCAGCAAAGGAAAGGGAAAAAATCATGTCTTTCTGAGAAGACTGCCATTTTTCATTAAGAACATAGATCCATGAGCTTTTCTACCAGACACAGAGAGTTGTCGGCTTTTCAAATGTCTGTGTCTGCCTGCTGCTGCTGCTGCTGCTCTCTGATAATCTAGGTGTATTTCACATGATTATAGATTATCAATATCTTCTTTTTACAGCTCCCTGGCCACAGGAGACAGTTGCCTAAGCAACGCTTCCAAGGTAAGCTAATGGATTAAAGAGTGTGTGCTTGTATTTTTGTATGTGTTTGTGAAGTGTGGGGCAATCATTCTAGTGGTGGCAGAGAATCACAGCAGCATGCCATTAACACATAAACCCTATTGATCTTCAAGGCCTGAATCTGTTTGTGCTAACTCACTGAATATGTATAGGACAGCTGCTACTGTGTAGCGTTTTGGTCAGTATTTGTGTGTTTGGATACCTTTGCACCAGTGATGCCATTTTACCTTCAAGGATAACCTGAACAAAGTCCTGTGCAGACATCTTGCCCTTCCTGGCGAAGCACTGGTAAGCCCCGCCGTCACTTTTCGACATTCCTTCCATCATGAGGTTCTCCCGGTTTAGCCCAATGAAGCGAACATTGTTGCCAGGGTAGATGATCTCTCCGTTGCGATACCATGACAGCTCGTATTCATCTGAGCCGCTCACGGTACAGGACAGAGACACCTTGCTACCCACGCTACCCTTCACCTTTCGAGGGCTGACCACTACTTTCAAGGGTTCTGTGGACACAGAAATCAAAGAGATGTTTAAGAAAAAAAAATTGGGTAGTAAATATAATAATGAGGTACAGTATGATTATCATTATATTTGTCCAAGTTCAATGTTTATTCTTAATCATGAAGAATGCTAGCGCTAACATTTGATTCTCATCAATGCAGTACATCACTGTATCAAACAAAACAAGCAAGTTGCCCCCAGTGGTGCTGCTGGTGCAGGAGTCAGTTACTGGCAAATCATTTCAATCTCACACACACGTATTTACTGTTGTAGCTTCATAATCCTTAATTACCTCCAACAAGGAAGTTATGTTTTTGGTAGCGTTTGCCTGTGCGTGTGTCATTCGTTCTGTCTGTAAACACCAAGGTGTAAAAGTTTCAAATGAATTCTGATAAAACTTTGTAGAGTGCAGAGTGGGGTCGTGTTAACAATCCTTTAAAATTCAGCTTACATCCACCGATGTCTTCAAGGTCAACTCAATGATTTATTATTGAAAACTGACAAAAAGCCTCATACCTTAGAAACTACAAATATTACAAATGTGGTGTGTGTTGTCAGCATAGAGAAAGTTCTATAAAGAAAGAACGGTTTAAAATCATGTCGCATTTGACCTCTGACCTCCTTCAAGGTCAGCAGATTCCTCTGAAGGCTATGTAGCGCTATTTAAATCTATGTTTCTTACTGACATTGCTTGTATTGACAACATATAAGCATACAGGGAATCACATATGTGGATTCTAGTCTACAAAGTACATTTAAAAAGAGCAAAGAAAAGAAAATTAATATATATAAAATATAATGGTATATTCTTACAAGTAAATACTGTCCAGAGAGTGAGCCGCCTCGGTGGAGGTATGTGCTCTCTGAGTACTTCTTGTTTAGTTTATATGTTCATTTTACTCATATGAACCAAACTAACCATCCACTCTCTAACACGTGCCAAGGCTGTTTTTTTTCCACTCATTTCACTTCATTACTCTAATACAGCAGTTTCAGCTACCCACAACATAGAAGAACCCCTGAATTTTATAAAGCACTTACGTTTGACATACAGGCGACCCATGACCTCCGCGGTGCCATAGCTGTTCCACACCTCACAGACATATGTTCCCGAGTCACTGGGCTGTGTGCTCTCTATCAGCAACCCCGAGGTTGTCTGGTGAATGCGACTGTCGAGCTCCAAGGGGCTGTTGTCCTTCAGCCAGCGGTATTTGGGCATTGGGTAGCCTGAAGCCTTGCAGGGCAGCTCCACCCGATGATTAATCATCACCTCTCGGTGGTCAAAGCCATCCAAGATGACTGGCTCAGCATTGGTGGGGTCTGGAAGGAGCAGAGAAATTTAGTGTTAATTAGTGGTGAGCGTTGCCAGCCGCTCGACAGTCTAATCCAATATTGATTCTTCGGGTCAACATTCAGTTCTACATACTGTATATTTTGTTACGTGGTGGAAAAGAGAGAAAGAGACTTGCTTCTGTAATTTACCGCAGTTTCACTGTCTCCTACAACCGAATTCAGACATACTAAATAAATGAAAAATATAAATGTGCATTTCATGCTAAATGACTTCTTTTTATCAAACTCTACTGCAATTTTATAAGAAGCTCTTTGCTGATACCTCCTGGTTTGTTTACTTTTATCTAACATCTGACACAATGACGATGAAAAAGACAGAATAGGTCACTGCATAACTCAGTTTTGTCTGCAACACACCATATGTGACATTTTAAAATGCCCAACCCAACTCTAAATTTTTAATGTACAGGGAGTGCAGAATTATTAGGCAAATGAGTATTTTGTCCACATCATCCTCTTCATGCATGTTGTCTTACTCCAAGCTGTATAGGCTCGAAAGCCTACTACCAATTAAGCATATTAGGTGATGTGCATCTCTGTAATGAGAAGGGGTGTGGTCTAATGACATCAACACCCTATATCAGGTGTGCATAATTATTAGGCAACGTCCTTTCCTTTGGCAAAATGGGTCAAAAGAAGGACTTGACAGGCTCAGAAAAGTCAAAAATAGTGAGATATCTTGCAGAGGGATGCAGCAGTCTCAAAATTGCAAAGCTTCTGAAGCGTGATCATCGAACAATCAAGCGTTTCATTCAAAATAGTCAACAGGGTCGCAAGAAGCGTGTGGAAAAACCAAGGCGCAAAATAACTGCCCATGAACTGAGAAAAGTCAAGCGTGCAGCTGCCAAGATGCCACTTGCCACCAGTTTGGCCATATTTCAGAGCTGCAACATCACTGGAGTGCCCAAAAGCACAAGGTGTGCAATACTCAGAGACATGGCCAAGGTAAGAAAGGCTGAAAGACGACCACCACTGAACAAGACACACAAGCTGAAACGTCAAGACTGGGCCAAGAAATATCTCAAGACTGGTTTTTCTAAGGTTTTATGGACTGATGAAATGAGAGTGAGTCTTGATGGGCCAGTTGGGTGGCTGGATTGGTAAAGGGCAGAGAGCTCCAGTCCGACTCAGACGCCAGCAAGGTGGAGGTGGAGTACTGGTTTGGGCTGGTATCATCAAAGATGAGCTTGTGGGGCCTTTTCGGGTTGAGGATGGAGTCAAGCTCAACTCCCAGTCCTACTGCCAGTTTCTGGAAGACACCTTCTTCAAGCAGTGGTACAGGAAGAAGTCTGCATCCTTCAAGAAAAACATGATTTTCATGCAGGACAATGCTCCATCACACGCGTCCAAGTACTCCACAGCGTGGCTGGCAAGAAAGGGTATAAAAGAAGAAAAACTAATGACATGGCCTCCTTGTTCACCTGATCTGAACCCCATTGAGAACCTGTGGTCCATCATCAAATGTGAGATTTACAAGGAGGGAAAACAGTACACCTCTCTGAACAGTGTCTGGGAGGCTGTGGTTGCTGCTGCACGCAATGTTGATGGTGAACAGATCAAAACACTGACAGAATCCATGGATGGCAGGCTTTTGAGTGTCCTTGCAAAGAAAGGTGGCTATATTGGTCGCTGATTTGTTTTTGTTTTGTTTTTGAATGTCAGAAATGTATATTTGTGAATGTGGAGATGTTATATTGGTTTCACTGGTAAAAATAAATAATTGAAATGGGTATATATTTGTTTTTTGTTAAGTTGCCTAATAATTATGCACAGTAATAGTCACCTGCACACACAGATATCCCCCTAAAATAGCTAAAACTAAAAACAAACTAAAAACTACTTCCAAAAACATTCAGCTTTGATATTAATGAGTTTTTTGGGTTCATTGAGAACATGGTTGTTGTTCAATAATAAAATTATTCCTCAAAAATACAACTTGCCTAATAATTCTGCACTCCCTGTAGGGATGATCCCAGTATCAAATATGAAAAGCGCATATATATTTGTAACTTCTGACTAAGTGTTATCTTTAAATGCAGTACTGACCCGACACAATGAGACGTGCACTGTTGCTCTGGCGAGTTTCACCGGTGTAGCGGTGACGCGTGGTGCAGCGATAGTTATTCAGGCCATCCTCAGGCAGGACGTCCAAAATATACAAGGCTCCCGTGGATGTGATGAGATATCTTTGTCCTGGAGAAGATAAGAAAGAAAGCAGTTGTGTGGTTGTCTTATAGCATCACAACAGCTTTTACAATATAAAGAAAATGCATTCACTCCAGCACCACTGAGAGATTTTCTCTCTTCCTCCATAGGGTGCTAATGAATTTCTAATGTCACAGATGTCACATATAAATACACACCACAAGAAATATCATCTTAAATGATGCTGTAACTGCTATAAATATTGAATTAATCATGTACAAAATATACAAATTAAAAACTCAGTCCACATATCGTGTTTATTATACAAGTCCTTAACCTTTAACAGCTTTTATTGTCTTGTCTTTGTGCTATTGCAGTAGCCTCACTGGCGCCATAGTCTGTTACAGAAAACCAATCCCTCTTATGCTGTCACAGGCAGTTCTGTAAGTACGGTAATATTATGTTAATTCTGCAGATCAAACGAGGTTGAGTGGGGTTGTCACCATCCATAAGGAAAGAAACCTTCCTCACAGCCATCACGTGGATGCCCACAGTCCCATGGGAGCAGATTGACGTCAAAACTGATTGAAAAAGCAATTTACAGGATATTGTCTTCTCTGTGCAGTGGTGGGTATGCTACGACAGAGATAGCACAGGAAGCCTTTCGGGCTAGAGAGAGTCCTACAACAGCAATAGGTGATGACGACCGGGTCGAGAAGAAAAATATCGTACTCTGCCATCACGGGGTTGCAAAGCTGCAGCGGTACCCGTTCGATTTTTTTAAATCCTTTTTGGCACTCTAGTCTACTTTTCTTTCCTCCACATAAATATAAGATATAAAGTGAACCCAAATAGAACTATAAGCTATACTAAGAGTCCAAAAAAAAGTATTTGGCATTTTTGTTTGTTAGCCAGATCAAGCTTTAATTTGAACATATACTTGATATTACTGCACAAAAAATGAATTTATGAAATTCCCCATGGTGCACAAATTGCAGCACCATTTAAAAGTACAATCTCAATTCTCAAAAAGTAGGAACGCTGTGTATATAAGAAGAAAAAAACAAAAAAACAAAACAAAATGCAATTCTTTGAAAATCTTACAAACCCACATTTTATTCACAGTAGAACATATAAAATATATCAAATCTTTAAATGGAGTCAGTGCACAATTTTAGGGAAAATGATGTGCTCATTTTAAATTTGATGGCAGCCACATGTGTAGAAAGTTGGGACAGAGCCGTGTCTACGACTGTGCGGCATCAACAGTTCATAAACTTCTGGCAAATGAGGAGTCCACCTCCTGGACCAATGGGAGATGGGAATGTTGTTTGATAGAGGATTCTAGCTGCTGAACAGTCCTGGGTCTTCTTTGTTGTATTTTTAATTTCATGATGCTCCAGACAGTTTCAAATGGTGACCGCCTGGACTGCAGACAGTGCAGTTCAGCTGTGATTTAGCATTGTCTTACCGAAATATGCAAGGCCTTCTCTGAAGAAGACGTCATCTGGATAGGAGCATTTGTTGCTCTAAAACCTGTATGTAAATTGATGCTGCCTTTTCCAGATGTTCAAGCTGCCAATTTAAAAAGAACTAAGTCACACTAACACCATTAGAGATGCAGGCTTCTGGACTGAATGCTGATAACAAGCAGGATTGTCCCACTCCTCTGTCTGGGTGACATGACATCTATGTTTCCCAAAAATCAAAATCCCATAATTTAGATTTTTCTGACCAGTAACAGTGCTCCCCATTGGCTCAGTCCATTTTAAATGAACTGTGGCCCAAAGAGGAGGCCAGCGTTTCTGTTCACTTACAGCTCATTTTCAGACAGACTTCTAACCTGCATTTCTGAATGGCACCGTGAACTTTCTGGAAGACTCATGACTGTTTTAATGCAATGCGGCATTGAAGACTTGACTTTTGGGTTTTCTCCAGATTCTTTAAAACTTTTAATCAAATTATATACTGCAGATGATAGAAGATATTCAAAGAGCAAAGGTTTCTGGTCAGCTGCTGTTTGTTTGCCTCTTAGTTGTACCACAAAAAAGCTCACACCAACCTCAAAGCCAACTGTTTCATTGAGAGCTGTCAGTTACTGCTGACTGTAATGACGCTGTGTGTATGACTAGTAAAAAGATTTTTAAAAATTAATTAAAACAGTGGGATTAAATACCAAAGGCACTTGGTTAGCTAACATCAACATTTCATTCAAAAACACAAAAGGAACTTTGCACACATAAAAACAGATAATGGGCTCAGCAGAAGTCTTCTGACAGCTAAATCATTTGCATGGTAAAGAGAAGTCCCTCCACCACCGCACAGCAGGTAAAGCATTCTCTCCAGGACGCAGATGTAAGCACATGTTTCCTAGTTAAAGATCAAATAACAACTTCATGACAAGAAACTCAGAGGATTCTGCACTAGATGTAAACCCCTGCTAAACCAATAAAACAACAGAAAAAAGCTAAAAGTTGACACATGGTGGTAAATGAATTGAAAAAAAAAATCATGCTAAGAGGACATTGTGGACAAGATAACCAACAGTGCATACTCAAAAACATGGTTGTGCACTGGAATTTATTTGTCACTGAATGTGCCGAAGCGTTTATGGCCTGGAGTGTGTACTCTGTGTCATCACCTGACTGTGCAAATATTTGGCTATCTGCTTGTGAAGCAAGATTTCGACAATAACAAGGTTATAATATGTTAATGTGCAGCTATTTTTAAGAGTGACATGTTTCATGAGGGATTTTTTCCTCAAGGAAGTTTCTTGTTTCCCCTGTATGTTTAGTTTGGTTGAAAATAAGCACAACGTAAGCAACATCCCTCACAAGAAAAACATAGATTGACAGATAAACTGTATCAAAAAAAAATGAAAGTCAGTGGCTTGGATATGAATGTACAAGTCATAGTACATTCTTCCATCATTATCAAAAGGAAGAGAAACCTCCAATTACACCAAGTGGTTTAAGTCTGGATTACTCTGATTCAAGCTGAGTAGTGTCAACTGAAACTAAACTAAAAACTAAAATTAGACATTAAAAAATATGTTGTTAACTAAAATAAAAACAAGACCTTTAAAAATGGTATGCAGGAGGGGGAGATACAGGAGAGGTGGAGGAAGATCTCAGCCTGGGCGTCTATTGTCTCATGTAGTCTGGAAGATGAGTGAATGGTGGGGTGGGTGCAGTTTTCTCTGTGGTGGGGTTGGGTGGACTGTCCCGGGCTCCGTGGGGCCGGGGGGCGCTGCTGCGCTGGGCCCCGGTCTGGATGGGCCTGGGCCCCCTTTCCCTGGCGGGTCGCGGAGTATGGGAGTGCCTACTGGGGTCAGCGGGGGAGCTGGCCCCAGGGAGGGGTCACCTGCCCCTCCCTTCCTTCCCTCCCCATCTCCAGCTGCCTCCCTCTTCCCGCTCCACCACAACCACCCACACATGCAGGGCCTTGGAGTAGGGGTATGTCACCAGGGTGCAGAGGAGGCTACCCCCCCCTCTGTCCCCTTCTGGCTGCCTCTGCCTCAATTTTATCCCACAACTTAGACATTCACATTACTCACACTCTCATTACACATACATATAGGATCTTGGGGGTGGGCACGATACACGGAGTCCAAATTACCATCAGGGTGTACACCTCACCCCTGGCGTCGTTGCCCACCTCTCAATTTTAAATACACGTAGACATTGAGGGCTAGCAGGAGGGACTATGCGCTTACCTGCTGCTCTCTGGCAGGTAGCTCCATGCCCTCCTGGGTTTTAATTGCACCTTAGAACACACATGCATCAACACTACAATGAGCGGGTGGAGGGAGGTTTGGAGTCTTCTCTCACCCCCATTCTCTGCGGCCTGCTGGAGCGGGGGGGCTAGGAGGAGTTGGCCGTCCGACTGCGGTCTGGAGTGTGGGGCCTCCCTGCTGCTGCGGAGTCGGGGCGGTCTGCCTCTCCCCACCGCAGGGAAAAGGGTAACACCACCTGGGTCTGGGTGCAGTTCCCCCCTCCAGGGGCAAGGGTACCTAGACCCGGTTTGTAGAGTACGCTTGGGGAGTGTGATCGTGTGTACAGCGTCTCTTTATGTCTGTCTCCACGTTGGTTGAGTGTGGAGTAAGTGCATATGAGAGCATGAGGGTGGGAATGGATGTTTGTATCTGTGTGTGCCTGTATGTCTGTGTCTATATGTCAGGTTGGGTATCAGACGCCACCTCTCTGGGGACATCTCAGGCCCTCCAAGGTTTGGAGGGCTATCTCCACCCACCACCACTTCCCCTGCCGGTGGCGGACTCCCTCTGGTGTCGGTGCGTTGGTGGTTCCTTGTGTCTGGGGGTGGGCGTCCGGGTACACACCGGCTCACTCCTTGGCGGCCGCTTATCGGGGCCTGGAGCCTGGGGCTTGCTCGGGCCACTTCGGAGGTGGGGTGCCCCCGGCCTCTCGGCCTGGGGCTCGGTCACTCAGGCACAGCTGGCTGCCGGCGGAGCTCATGGGCGCGTCACTGCAACTCCCCCTGGCTTCTGCTCCGCGGCTGCTGAGTGAGCCCTCATCTGGGACTCTCCTCAGCTCTTACTGGGACAGTGGCGCGGCTGCCCCTCTGTTGGTCTTCCTTGGTCTCTTGTGTTCTGGGGGCCTCTGGATGTCTGGAGTTTTGATCTCCTCCATACCTGCTTCATACCCTGGAGGACGGGGCTGTGGCTCCCCACACTCCCTAGCAGATCGTTACATGGAGAAACCTTTGGAATGCAAGCATGCTGATCCACACAGGTATGCACACAGGTGTACACACGGGTATTCACAGACGCGGACTACAGCTTTCTTGGCTGCTGCCTCAAAGCACATTGTGCGCTGTCTATCTTGCGTGCTGCACAATATCGTTTATTATTTAGTATCTACTGATATCTACTGCTAGCTAGTTTATTGTGATGGTGCCGTTTTTTTTATTATGTTGCTCTTTGTTGTTTGCTTTCTCTTCTGTTTTTTTTCTCCATACAGGTGACCCAGGTGTTTTGTTTTTTTTGTTTGTTTTTTTCTTTCTTCCCCCCCTTCTCACCGTCTCTTCTC